CCGTGAGTCCCCAGCCCCAGAGCCTCGGCGTGAAAGGTTGGTGCGTTTCCCCCATGACTCTTTTTGTCCACAGCCGAGTGGCGTCTGCGAGTCTGAGCTGCAAAGTTACTGATTTGCAGGCTGCATGTTAAGGCAGCCCATGTAAGTAATTTCTCCGGGCACCCCAGCAAAGGAGAACAAATCGCTGACAAAGGCGAGCGCTTTCGATTCAGCGGCGTCGTTAAGGCAACCCCAAAGTATTCCTCCTATAATAAGTTCCACTTCAAAGGGTTTCTCATTCAGCGGTGACTGCTTCGCACTTTTATTAAGTCCGGGCTTTTTCACTCTGAGGAATCATCTGTTTGGTTATTTTTCATCGTGTTTATTTTTCACCATTCACACAGTACTTGTATTAAATAAACAAAGAACAATCGCTCTGCAAATAAAAGTACTTAGGTGGGGAGAGAAGGAAGAGGAACTGGGGCTCTGGCTCCCCTGTCCCTCTCCCCCACCCTTCGAACATCACCCACTCCCCACCCGACTCTCCTCCGCTCCTATCCTCCTTTCTTCATTCTTTCTCTCCCCTTTCTCTCAAGCTAGGAGGTTCTATGGAGGAATCTTAAACGCTGAATACATACACACACACACACACACACACACACACACAAATATATATATATTTCTGATGAGGTTCAAGTGGACTGAAGTAACTTGGCATGAAAGTAAACGTCACTGCAGCTGTGTCTCATCGACTGTCTTGAATCACAGTGGCCCCTCTGCTGGCGACTCCCCTGGCCCTGCCCGCTACCATAGCCATCCTGGATGGCTCCGCGTGGATGGACCATAGAAGCAGTAGTTTGAATTTCAAAAAAAAAAAAAAACATGCCTTTGAACTTCTCCCTGCCTGATTAGGCACTTGCAGTGTATGTTAATGTGTGCTGGGGAGTGCGTGGGTGTGGGATTGAGTTTTTGTCCACGGAGGGGAAGTGTACTGGGGGCCCCAGGGCAGTTTCACCTCAGGTCTCCTGCGGGCCTGCCTGTGCCTCCAGCCCTGGAAGGCTTCCGTGGCTGGGCGTCCTGTTTTGCTACACTGTGAGCGGACTGGCAGGCCAGGAGTGATGTGAGGGGATGAAAGTACTATTAATAAGCGGTTGGGTTGTTTTGTTTGCCTTGTGATCAGCCTTCTTTACTGCTGGCTTAAGGTGATCACTTGAGAAACCAGATGTCTCCCCTGCTCCCTCCCCAGGAGCTGGATTTCCTAACCAAACTGGGATTTTAAAATACTAGTGGCCAGCACCTCTCGTCCCATTTCATAAACAGATAGAGAGATGATAGATGATAGATTACTGGGTGGGTAAAACAACAATGGTCTCCAAAACCTTCCCCAAAGTAGAAGAGATCACTTATGAGAGTGCAATCTGTTTGCAGCTAGTTGGGCCTCCTCTTTTCCTGTCCCCAGTGTTATGATGCTTGTGTGGCCATCTCCAACTCCTTAAGAGAATATAATTTCTACCTTCAAACTCTATGGAGTTTAGATTTTAGGACCATCAGCTTTACCAAAGAGAATCCTGAATGGGAAAAATATATATACATAAATTTCAAATAATTGTGCGTTTGAAGATTCTCCTAGCCTGGAAAACAAAGGTAGATGATTTAAACAGTATTTGCAAGGGCCACGTTTTGCCTAGGGAAGATGAAGTCTTTGATGATAGCCAACTTAGTGTCAATAAGTGGCTTTCTTTGAGACATATTCAGATGGGAACGTCTTGCTTGCCAATTGCCATAGAAATCTTAACACACCATGAAGATTGTCCGAGCGCCAAGCCTTCCGTTCTGGACTAAATTACTTTGAAGTGGCGCAGGACGAGCAGTGGTCAATTTTAACTCTATAGACTGGACAGAGAACGCTGAGAGTGGGAGATTGTGCGTTTTAAAGCAGAAAATAAGAAGGGGAAACTTGTTTTATACACTCTATACAAGGTTCTGCTCATTGTCAGATATCTTTTATCTTTTATATTTCCCATGAATGATTCATGTCTTGGTGGCTTTGTGTCACCCTTCTTTTCACGAGAAACTTCATTAGAGAGCTATAAGTTTTCCCATTGATTGGGGCCCTCATTTATGAGTGTTTTTCTCCTTCGTGTGCTGGTTATTGTCATCTGACTTAAAACAACTCTTTGCAACCTGTTTCACCTTTACTACATTTAACAAACCTGACTTTTAAAAGCCACTATAACCTTTCAGAGAAATGCTTATTGACATTACTAGCAATTGCTTTCAACTACTTACCTTTTATCAGTTTTGTATCTGCTAACAAAAACACAAGCAAACATCCAGCCTTGTAAATGTGCATAGCCAAATACCTGCATTTAAGCCACTTGAATATTTTGCTGCCATGCAAGAATCTAATTGTTCAACACACCTGCCCCAAAATGCTAAGCTTAAATTACCAATAGCCACTCAACTTCCAGAACAAACTACAGTAAAATTGCATCTTGATCTCCCACACCATGAGAAGCATTCGATGCCCACTACTCAATTTCATTCAATACCTATCTCAGCCCCTGACTGATTTTGCTTTCACCTTCTTTGTGTCTAGAAGCCTCACTGTCTCTCCCTCCACATTTTCTTCATTCTTTTTTTTCTTTTTGGAGGCTGGGCACCAAAGAAATGCTAAAATTCACTTTTCGGCTTTTCACTGATTAGAATCACTCAGGATATTACTTATTTTAACAAATAAATGCAGTAACCCAAAAGATTTATGCTACTGTAAGTATAACTTGCAAGGCTTAGTCTTCAAAAATATCTTGTGTTTCCCAGATAAGCTTGTAAGTTGTAAGTTAAACCAGGCTGCAAAAATATTGTATTGCTTGGGGAGAGGCTAAGAAACCAAGAGATCAACGGAAGACATTCACTCCATTAGCAACCTGTTCTGTTTGTAGGAGAGATATGCCATTAGGTAAAACATAAGCAATAATAATAAGAATACCTTTATTAAATTTGTTACTTCATAATCATTCTTGCTCTCTATTGGAGGTACACATTTTTTTATTTTAGGTGTATCAAGAACCAATAAATCTGTGGCAAAGAGTTAACCTATGCATGGTAAAATACATAAAATACATATTCCTTTGTTTCATAATAAATAAACCTGTAGCATAATAAAGAATAGTGCAAACTACCATTGAAAAAGTTGTATAAATAAAACAACTCATTATACATCAGGAATATTTTGTTCTAATAAGTTTACGATACATAAATTATCCCCCCAAAAGTTCATACCTTTTCTATTTGAAAGGGCTTTGAAAGTAATATGAAAATCAAATAAACTTTTCAAATGTAAAATTATCTCATATTCAAGTTTTAAGGTCTTTTTCTTTATAAAGGAGGGTCTGCATGTTTCATATTCACCCTAACAATCTGAAGACAACATTGAAAGGCTTTCCAAGTGACAGCACCATGCACTGTACTAGTAATATAATATATCTATAAACTATATATAATCTCATCAACACAATGCAAAAAAGACATGCAGGAAGAGTCTTGGTTTTCACATTACGTTGTTCATTCAAGTAAGCTTAAAAATATATTTTTCCATTTTCTTTCCTTTTTTTTTTAAATAAACCATGGATCATAAATGACAATCTTTCACCAAAATGTATAATATAATTCTTTGGTGTGCTTTGAACTCTTCCAGGAAAAAAAAAAAAGGATGATGTCTGAAAATAAATTAATTCAACTGTACAAATAATAGTGTTCACATACAAGTTATTAACAATGACAAGACTACATCAACCACTCACAGCACACAAAACAAATTTCTACAAACCCTGGGGAGGGGGTGTCTTCAGGGTCTCTAAGGATAAATTAGTGCTCTTTAGTATATCTGTATGATGTTTCTGATGGACTACATTTTGCACAGGAGATGTGTTGTACCAACCGAAAATAAATTGACTAAGAGTTATTGTCCTAGGTCCTTGACCTTTTTTATCCTAGCTTGACAGCTCTGGCAAAGGTCACACATTCATCAGTGTTTGGTGGTAACTATAAACCTTTTAAAATTTTTAATATGTAGGGCAACTCCCTCCCCTCTTTCAATGTAAATCATACACTTCACACACTGTCATTTTCAAATGGATTCCAGTTTGGTGTGCTCAGTGCTCAGGTGGAAGAAAATGCATTAAAATGCAGTTTCAGGCATTGAAAAATAGACTTTTTAAAAGGCTGATACAACAGTATAAAAGACGTGTTGGCCTGTTTTAAAAACAGCTTTAAAAAAAAATAGGCATGATGCCATCATTACACCTCCTCAAGACTTGACTGTGAATGTTGGCATCCCAAAGAACTTAGGATTGAAAACAGAATCTCTTTATTACACAAGAACTTTGGACACAGTTGGGAGAGGCAGTATCTGAGAATTCAGATTTTAAAAAAAACCAAAAAAAAAAAAAAAAAACACACCATACAGGAAAAAGAAAGCACTTGAATTTCTTCTATTTTATAAAATATCACAGTTTCACAGTTGTCTTATTGCAGCAGCTTTTCTTCTCTCCACTTTTGCTTGAACAATCACAGTAGCACAAGATACGGAGATATATTAAGGTTGCTGCATCTTTTTTTAAAATCACACAGTAGGATACTGAAGAAATAATCCTGTATAAAAATATTGTGTTAAGGTGAGATCAGTAATAAAAGAGTGGAAATTAAAAATTACAAATATTAAACTCAAAGGGTTTTTACAAATATTTTTGGACACAGATACAGTCCAGGATCTGTTGGCAATGCAGCAGGTGTGTGGTTTACAATCAAGAGGCCTTGGCAGAATTAGGGTCCAACAAGGAGGCTCAAAAGCAGCCCACGGTATGGTGTCAAAGGCATTTGAGAGGCACTCTGGGAAATGCAGAGGGCCTTGTTGCTGTGTTTAAGTTCTGACTTAATGCTCTTTTTCTCCCTCCTTTAAAAAAAAAAAAA